CACCTCGCGCGTCCTCCCTTTCCACTCTCATCGAAACACAAGAAAGTCGGATCCTGCAAATTTTTTCATTTTTATATATATATTTTTCATTTTCATCGCCTGAGGGATGTTTTCAGGAGCCGAACCGGGCATGAACTTTTTATTTTTATTTTTATTTATTATTTATCATATTTGTTTGATGAAACAACAAAACAAAACTGGGCGTTTTGAAAACTAAAACCTGGTCTTAGTAGGGCCGGATTGTTGTTTTTTAGTTTGCGCTAAATGTTGGTTTTTTTATCCTATCTTGCTTTCACTTTTTGCGGCTGTTGTCAAAGTTTAGTTACTATACTAGTTTTAAAGAGCAAGCAACCAGATCCTTTCTTTATCCAACTTAATCCATCCTATTCTTCTTCTCTCTTTTTTTTTTTTCTGTTAGGCCACCGGAGCAAAAGAGCTTGATCACCAACCAGCGCCATGCTGGTAGTAGAGGAGACGAACCCAATCCAAAACCCAACATTTTCCCTTTATTACCCCCCTTTATTTTTTCACTCCCCTTTTTTGTGGTGTTTGACCGCCGCGTTGCATTCCTTCCCTTCTAGAATTCTATTGCTAATTACTTGCAGAAAAAAAAACTTTCTTCTAGTCTGCGGGATCTTCAGGTAGAGCTTGTTCTTCTCTCCCCTTCCCCCTTCCCGCCCGCTCCCATATCTCTTTTTCCGTTTATAAATAAAAGAAAACGCATAAAGTAGTATATGTATGTAGATGGAACGTTGAGCAATTAAGCCAGTTGAGCAGTTGAGCAACCGAGCGAGGAGAGTGAATTCTTGCAAAGTGACGGATAGGATTTGCAAATAAGGGAGAGAAGAGGCCTGCGGAGAATTTTTCGTCAACAGCGGGGGTTTCCCAAAAAATATACATCTAACGTTAAATGGTGTTAAAAAAAGCCCATGGGCTCCAAGTAAGAAGAGTTGTTGGTTGTGCATGAGGTAAATGGATCGAGTGATCTGGCTGCTACCGTTTCTGGGTATCCCCCCACCGCGAGAATCTCCGCTGCGAGGCGTCCGAGTGAGATTTAGGTTACAATGCGCATTTGGATGGATGGAAGATATGCGTTTTGCTGTGGCTGGCCATCAAGCGAAGGAGACTCGGCGTCTCAAAATATAGAGGAAAGCGCAGGAAGAAAATAGTAATACAGGATGTAAGTTATGTAGATTGAGTTGAATGTTGTGTCAAGTAGGTGATCAATAGTTCGAGGGAACCCGGCGAAACGAATGAATAAATGAATGGCGACAAGCTTTCATCATCTTCTTTTACATGCCAGAGGAGATCGACTTGTCTATCTGCCCGTTGCTTTGTCAGTAGAAGGGAAGGGAAGGGGAAGGTGTTTGTTGGTAACCGCTATTGCTTGGTTGATTGCCCGCTCTGCTCGTATGACGTTCGCTGGAGGGTACATATACTATCGCCATTGCGGTTCGAAGCGGAGCGTCATCCATCTCCTGGTTTGGGTCTATCTTCATGGATATACGCTGTAGGTACGTATCTTCACAGGGTATTTGGATGCCAACGACCAGGCCGGCCACCATGCTGAAACAATGCTGCAGAGCCATAAGCCAAGGAGGAGTAGTTATGGCAAACAAAACCCTTCATGCAAGCTCTATTTTTGAGCCTGTTTTCGTTTTCTGAGTCTTCTCTCCCAGAGCCCTCGCCAGCTGCCATGAAGCTGGAGTCTTACAAAAATGCGGCTAAAAAGTTCAGCGGGTCCTTCGTGCCCAATCACGTGCGCTGTCCAACATCTCAACCATCGCCACTCAGCCCACATCGTCTTCCCAACGTCGCCAACCTGCTCGAACAGCTGTCAAGCTGGTCTGGCACTTTCCACCCGCCAGTTGTATCTGTTCGGGCTTGCATGCTGCATGCTGGGATCGTTATCCCAACTCTCGATGCGCAAGCCGCATCCTTTTTCTTTTTTTTGCTCCGTTTTTGACTTTTCTGTTCCCTTGGTTGATCCAACGGAACCCCTGGCTCCTGTGCCATGGTTTTCTCTTTCTTTTTTATTTTTGAATTCTAATTTAATTTCCAGTCTTTGGGGATGTTACCGTGCATGCACATTATACTAGACTTATGCTATATACCGGATGTCAACCGCTGTTGCGTTGATATTTTATGGAATATCTAATAGGATGATAACAGGGGCGAGGGACCTCTATGCAGCGTCGTTAAACGGCGGCATGTTGGTATTTTTCTGAAGAGTCCGCCCGACTGAGCCGATCTGCTCCAGACCCAAGGTTCTCAAAGAGTTTGGGTCGTCCTTTATATACCGTATTCGGAATTTCGGAACAGAGCGCGTGCAAGGACCTGGAAATTTAATTAATTTGGAAAATCTCCACCACGAACGGCTTTTATGGTGGAAACTATGCTTGACAGCTAAGATTTAGGCATCGGACCCAAATATTTTGTGGTGTTATACCGCGTGGACTTCTCTAGCTGGGGCAAGAGCCGACACTTCATCTTCCATTTTTTGCCCCGCCTCTTCTCGAAGTCCCGATAGTACTCCGTACTGGACCTATCAATCAAAACTCGAACTCCTGCGGAAGATTTTGTGCCACAGCAGGAAAGAGGGAGAAATGTTATTTTTTATTTGGACCGCGCCAAGGAGACCCTTGGATTGCTTGAGGGGCCTGCGATCTCCTAATTGAGTTCGGACGTTCCAATGTTTTGTCGGCCCTGACAGGTCGCGACGCGAAATAACCATCCCTCTGGGATTTATCTCATTTCCACTTACTTTTTAATCCTACCATATTTTAGTTTTGAGAGAAAAAAAAAGGTACGATTTGTGCATCAAGTATGCACCTTATTCTCTGCAAAAACCTGCAAGAAAGTCGAGACATCTGTGAAGGCCCTTAAAACTATTTTGTGAGAGTTGCTTTTTTCTTCTGTGTGCAAACCACGTATTATTATGGCTCCATTGTTTTGATTCGGCTTCTAATTCACCTTTTACGCACAACCTTAGAATGCCGCTCTCAGCACCTAATCAATTGATAACATTTCGCCCCCTCATTTTCTCCTTCGAATAGTCATATCATATATCCAAGTCAAAAGGCATGAAATTGCCATCATCAACCACGCTCCTCCTCCCATTTCTCTCTACATCATACCTCGTCTCGCACGCCATCGCAAAGAAGGACGATCCTGTCTTCACCAACATACACACTGGATGCTGTCCCCGGGGGTCCGAATATTCAAAAGCTGCCTCCCACCCCAATGCCACCGGTGTATTTTCTTTCGAAGGCATGCACTTAGACGACCGCGCCCTCCTCAGACGTAAAAACAGTCATGGAACATCAACAGAAACGCTCAAAAACTGGACATGGACAACTAACGTCATGGAAGTTCAGTTTGGGAGCGGCGATGGCGGCTTACACGCCACGAATCAGGTCTTCACGCTAGATATACCTCTCGACGTGGATATCTATGGTCCGACGCATCAACGGGAACGTGTGTGTCTTTGCTCTTGAAGATGGGTCACTGTTAATCAGAATGACCCGGGAGACTGTCGGAATATTTTCCCAAGGGCGGAGATTGAGAAGATGAAAGGAGCTTTTTGCCAGCCAGGGTTGGAGGATATGAGTCAGGGTAATATCGTTCGTCGACATGTGGGGGGCCTTCCCGGGACGTCGTGGCAGGGTGAGTTGGTTCTCTCAAGTCTTCCCCCCCCCCCCCCCCCCCCTGAAAGAATTAAGGCTACTTTCCCGGACAAAAAAAAAAGGGCCCTCCTAACCACTCCCATTCCAAGAAAAAAGAAATTATAAA